GTTTTTTGGGGGGGCCGATCCGGGGGGTCTGGGGGGTATACCCCCCAGTAGTACCTTTAGTGTATATATCAATTCATCAATTAATTGTTCGTAAACATTGACTTAAACTGACAGACATACGTCCGTGTGTTTTATAGAATATATTTCAAACTCAGTTTATGATTGAACTGCCAATACTGATCCTTCTGTAAACAAAAGTGACAGTTTTTATGTAAATGTATGTGTGCAGTCTGTATCAGACACTGGCCATATTTTCTCGCCCAGGTTCAAAAGGAATATACTGTATTTATTTCTTAACTGAACACTTACACATTGACAGAAATAACTCTAAACCCATCTTTCGATAAAGAGGCACAATATTGCCTCAAGGTCAAATTAGTCAACAAAACCAGACTTTGTTAGTCTACATGTAGAAGAAATGGTAAAATGGTGTATGCCATACCTAGAACTGAAAATTATAAAGAGGAGAACAGTTTTTAAAACTAAAATTATAAGATTATCTTATTACAATTCAACATTAGGAGCACCATTGTATGGATAAGGTGTCTTTTTCCATTTTTTTACATCTATAAAAAATGAACCCAACACGTTTTTTTCTGTATTTTGTTACAACAAACAGGACAGAACCGTTTGATTACTTTTGAAGTTTTCATCGATTTCCTATTGAAAAAGGTATTACATTTGGAACTACTAGTGTAAGGTAAGCAAGCCCAAGTGCTCAGTATAGGCCTAATAACAGCACCTGAAGTAGTTCCACAATAATGATCTCTTCCTATTTATTACCCTCCGTATTGCTGTTTCAAGAGGTAAAAGAGTGGTGAGCTAACTGCACCATTTAAATAGTCTTGATTTACTTCAAATTCGCTAAATTTATAATATTGTAGATACAGGATTGTTACATTATTGTGTAGTTAATTACCGTAAATTCGAGAAAGATTGTTATTTTATGGTTTTCATCATAATGAGTGAAAAAAATAACCCCTTAAGTACAGTGTAAATATATCAGCGTCAAAAATATCATTATATATTAATTTTTTGATGTAAACAGTGTTATTAGAGCAAAATCCAAGATAAGGCTCTATTAGAAAATACCCCCGCCGCAGCAAACCTGCAGACTAAGCGAATTTCCATTTGCCTGAGCAGGTTTAAGCATTAGGTTTAACAAGTAAAGTACCTAATAGGTTGCTGCCACAGGGAGGGTTATAAAGTGTGTTTTTAGCGAATTTCCCATATAGGGAATAAGCTACAGTATTACCGTAGTACTCATGGTAAGACCTGTACCCGGGACCGATTTAATTTTTCATTCATTCGCATGGCTCAATCACGTCTTGGTTGAAGTTCGTTCGCTACGCTCACTCACCTTTAGGTTGGAGCTCGTTCGGTGCGCTCACTTGCCTTGAGGTTAGCTCGTTCGCTACGCTCACTCACCTTTTGGTTGCAAATTAGCTGTTGTCATAAATTAAAAAAATAATAGTGCTGCACCCTGTTGGTAAACCTATTAAATTTTTAATGCTATTGAACATCACAGAATCAAATTCTTTAGTTGAACCAGTTGTTAAGATTCTTTAATTCCATTTAAATATGAATACTCATACGGTTAACATGGGAAACTCCATAGCCACTGGGGCGGAGCCCTTTTGACGGATCTGCACCAAACTTCGCACAAACCATCCTTGAATAATGCTTAATAATACCTGAAAGTTTCATTACAATCTGTAGAGCGGTTTCGGAGTCCATAAAGGACAAACAAACATATATTGGATTTTATATGTATACTAGCTGACCCGACAGACGTCGTCCTGTCCTATGCTTTTATGTCAAATGCTTGTTCATTTTCAAGATCCTGATTGAAGTTCGTTCGCTACGCTCACTCACCTTTAGGTTGGAGCTCGTTCGCTGTGCTCACTTGCCTTCAGGTTGAAGTTCGTTTGCTACGCTCGCTCACCTTTTGGTTGCAAATTAACTGTTGTCATAAATTTAAAAAATATAATTGTGCTGCACCCTGTTGGTAAACTTATTAACTTTTAATGCTATTGAACATTACAGAATCAAATTGCTTAGTTAAACCAGCTGTTAATTTTCTTTAATTCCATTTAAATATGAGTACTCATAAGGTTAACATGGGAAACTCCAGAGCCACTGGGGCGGAGCCCTTTTGACGGATCTGCACCAAACTTTACACAAACCATCATTGAATAATTATAATTGCTTAATAATGCCTGAAAGTTTCATTACAATCTGTCGAGCGGTTTCGGAGTCCATAAAGGACAAACATACAAACAAACATACATTGGATTTTATGTATATAGATAGATATGTAGATTGTTTGAAGCTTTTTACAATATTCTATAGAGATAAATTGAAAAATGTTGTATTTTGAGGGTCAAAAATTATAAAAATTAATTTTTACGTACGTATTAAAACACATATTAAACGTATCAAAACGGCTGTTTTTCTGCAGTGTGACATTAACACCATTTGTGATTGGTGGCACCACAGAAAATAAACCATGGTTTAAACTCTGTAGTGGGATTGAACCTGAACCTGGAACCTCGAGGAATGAACTGAACGAAGGTCGTTTAATACGTGCCTTCCTACTTCACCATTACGATACCACTGTAAGTCAAACTCTATTTTGTTTGGGTCACCTAGTTCAGAGAGTATTTAGTTAAGTTAGTTATTGGTCGTTTAAAATATAATTACAGCACTATAGAAAATTTTCATTTAAAGCACGTTGAATATTTTTTACTGTACATAGAAATCATTCAATTCAGAATGAAATAATGCCAGAAGAGACATAAAAAATAGTATAAAAATCACTGAGCTAAAATTATAACTGGAGGTAGCACTGCCATGGCAGAAGTCTGTCAAAAGCGAGTCGCTGATTTTGTTAGGTTGGTATAGCAGTAAGTTTTCTTACCATAGCAATAACATGGCTTCTTATAACTAGGTTGTATAGCAGTGAGTTTTTTTGTCATAGCAATAACATGGCTTCTTATGGACACCCACCTCACGCAAACATGGCGGCTGGCGACACGCATCTTTGACATTCAGTGCTACCTCCAGTTAGACTTATAGCTCAGTGATAAAAATTCAGTTTCAGTTTCAGTTTTCAGTTTTTAAAATACTGCAATCTACTTTACTCTAGCGTCAATTGTACCATTCATACGTGATAGGATGGAAAATCCTACGTGAATCAGAAGATGTTATACTATAATGGTAGTTAGAAAGAGGGAGCGTGTCAAGGTGCCATCACCACGACAACCTGCCATCAAGAAGAGGTTTTAGGTGGTGGGTTGACGTGATGGATCCTTGGGGTGGAACCTAGACGCGACCGAGCACCCGCCACCCTCGAATAAATGTGTGGCTAGACACTGTCTAGGTGGCACCCAGACGGGCACGGACACGTCCATGGGACAAGTAAACCCGCCACCTCGGTATTTTTCTGGTGGTGGGTTTTCGCCACTGACCGAAATACTTATATCAATATATATCAATATTAACTGAGATGGGGACGCCACCTACGTGCGTATTTTAACCCAAATATGAGTGAAGGATGAGTGTAGAATGGTGTGAGATGATCTTTGTAGCTTTGTTACGGTACTGGCTAAGATCAGTTGTTTCATTAGCCAGGATCATTTATTTAAAGGCCAATGATCAGGTAGTGGGCACGGCCACCTTTAACTCCAGGCCACGGCCTGGTAGAATTGGCAACGTCGCAAGTAGTGTTGATCAGTGCCAGATGTCCCATAAGATAACATGGCAGACAGGTGAAACCAGCTCATTAATTCACGTATTATTGATTTAAATTTAAATTTATGAACATAAATTTATTAAAAGATTAAAAATGAAACATATTAGAAATTGAAAACCGAAACAAAATAAATTGAAAATCTAAATATGTACATTTAAAATTAAGTCAATATTTTCATAGCCCAGAAACAAAGTTGTCTTATTCTTAAAAACTACATAAATACCATTAGCTGTCTCCAAAAAACAGCTATAACAACACTACTTGCAACGTTGCCACTTCGAAGGCCGCGGCCTGGAGTTAAAGGTGGCAGTGTAGTGGGTTGTCGCCACGGCCGCCTTTAACTCCAGGCCGCGGCCTTTGAAGTGCCAACGTCACAAGTGGTGTTGCAACAGCTGTTTTGTTTTGAAGCAGCGAATGGTATTTACGAAAGATTGGTTACTGGACTATGACAATATTGACTCCGCTTAAAAATGTACAGATGTAGATTTTTAATTCATATTGTTTCAGTTTTCAATGCTGTATGTGTTTTTTCTCAATATTTTAATAAATTGATGTTCAAAAATTAAAATTTAAATCAATAAAGTGCGAATTAATGAGCTGTTGTCACCTGTCTGCCATGTTATCTTATGCGACGTCTGTCACTAAACAACACCCCTTGCGGCTGTGCCAATTCTACCAGGCCGCGGCCTTAGTTAAAGGTGGCTGTGGTTGTCGCACGACACACGGACACCTCATTACCAGGGGCCCATTTCATAATAAACTACAAGTTACAAGTTACAACTTGTAACTTGTAATTTCCATTAGATTTGCATTGGGCGATCAGCTGATTTACTAATAATATTAGTTTGTATTATGAAATGGGCCCCAGGCCGGGGTTGTTGTGGTGGGTGGTGGCACCTTGATGGTGACTCGTTGCACGGCCGGAGTTAAAGGCGGCCGTGCTTGCTGGTAGCATAAACTACTAAGGAGTTTATTTAATCTATGGGTAGCATTGACATCTGTAGACGTCGTAAAATTGTATGTGTCAATAATTAATTGTTGTATAAATCTAAGGTTTCGCCATCGTGTCACACTATAATATTCATCTCGTATTCAAGATCTTCCTTTTAAAATACTGTACATGTTTTATTAGATAGTACTAAGAAATTCCTCCTTGCACTCAAACTCAAATTTGAAATATTATTTCATCCTCTCTGTACTTCTAAGCAGGAAGAATTTTGGTTTTGGTAGTCTTTGACATCAGCCAAGGAATTATGGTTTTCCTATGTTTGTGTGTAATACAATTCGCGAAGATGGACTAAATTTTAAAAAGAATGAATCATATTTACATTGGCTTCACGTTAAGTTTTATTTGTTTGTTCCTAGCGTATTTTATTTTACCCAAGCTTGTTATTGTAGCAGTGCTGTGCGTAATTTTGGCGGGTTTGTACTTCAAGGATGACTTCACTCTTTTCCGTTATATAGCAACTCATGTGGCCTCGTTTTATTCGTGGATTAGTGACATTTCTTTGAGTATTCAAACTATGTATCATCAAAGTAACAACACTAATTTTCCCATTCGAAAACCTACTGAAAACAATGGTGCTGTGTCAAAGAAGTTGGACAGAATACATCATGGCTCTTCGTATAACCTTAGCACATCATATGTCGTAGATAATAAGTCATTAAACGCTAGCTCTGGTATCTGGAATTCTGGTGCAACATTTCCATCGCCAATAACTAGTTTCAGTAGTAGGACACAACAATCATTACAAGAAATGTCGAAGCTGAGTATTGGTCATCATGTTAGAGGGGAAACTTCTACTCCAATCCACTATTCAAAATCCAACAACTCGTCTAAATCACCCATAACAATAACTCATCCGGGATATTTGAGGACTACTGCAGATTTATTGCGAAGTGGAAGCTCACCTCTACCTGCCTTCAGAGATCACTCTCCAAACGTTGAAAATAAGCCACCTTTAAATGAAAAATACCGGTAAGTTTAAGTCAATAGGCTAACTTAAAAGCTACTGTAGGCTACGGTACCTATCATACGGGTAAATGAGGTAGGCTATTTTCCAAAGTAACTAACCTATGCCTTTAAGCTTGTTTGAGTCAGTTTATATAGCATAAAATGTCACGGTAAACTTTTAGAACCCAGACCTCAGCTTAACTTAAGTTAGCCTAAGCTTAACTTAACTTATACGTTCTAAAATTACTTTTAAACTAGGCTAACTTATCATACTAGCCTACAACATCAATACTACAACTTTCTTGAATAGGCTTACCATAACTTTTTTGGTGCCAAGGCCTGCTTTTAATACTTAAACTTAACTTACGAGGCCTTCTTTTATTACTAAATTAAATAGGCCTTCCGTAGGCCTAGGCCATAACCCAACTCACTACCGTACAGGACCAGTGGTAATTCGGGGGACATCAAACGTGTTATCATCGGAAGAAATGGGTTTTAGACGGGTAAAAGGGTTCATTTATGGGTAATTATCCAGGAAGAATGGTTAATTAGCTGGTTGAAAATGGTAGCCTACTTTCGTTTCCCTACGAAGAGCAAAGATTTAAAATCAAAACTTAAAATGCTCAAGACTATAAGTTATGGCAAATCCAATGTAAATCATGACAAATAACTTAATGTTTGAATAGATTTATGGTGGTTTTAACTAACTTAAACCTATTCTTCTATGATCATTTATCTTACTGAATGTACACCAGGTTGTATGCTGATGTAAGCAGCCCAGGTTTCTGTGGAAGAATTGCTGATCGTCTAAATGAAGAAAATACAATCCACCAAACAAAATATGATACCGTTGGTGCATTCCCTGTTGTAAATCTCAAGAGCCAATCTCCAAGAATAAAAATAAAAACACCTGTGCGTGTTCGTCTAGCACCACCATCCAATGAGCTGTAAGTAAGCTTACTTAAATCCACTACGGTACTCTGTAGGCCTACTTCTGAGTCCATAGTTTTAAGTTGCCCAAAAGAGTTTAAAGAGTTAAACAAGCCTATAATAGGGCTTACCTACCTACTTAGAACAAAATTGAATTAAGTAGGTAGGGCCTACGCAACTACACTGCCTAGCAGTGGCGGCTAGTCCATAAGGACTCTAGGGCGAAGTCATCCCATTTTCAACACAAAAGTAAAAAAATAACCTACAGTAGACTACTTTAAAAGAATCTGTAATCCTACATTCAATGTACATAGCCTAAATGTCAGTGGGGTCAATGTTCTTAGGACGGACAATGGACGCTAGATGTTTTTGCCCCAGTTAGTACGCCGGGACTCAGTAGGTAGAGTTCAAACTCGCATATAAACTGCATAGAAATATTCGACCAATCACATCGGTGCATCAGGCTCTAATGCAACAGATATAGGGCGTTTAGGCCTCCCAAACAGTATTTTAAGCTACCGGTATTGCTACAACAAGCACTGGGTGCAGCAAATGATCTCGATCTGTCAACCCAATTATTTATAGATCAGTCAAATAGTGAATACTGTGGTTTTTTGTGAGGTTATGTTTATTGTGCCGCACCGCCGGTATTCAAGTTGATAATTAATTAATATACCTCTGTTTCAGTGTAGTTCAGTGCTAATAATGAACTATGAATTCGGTGAAAAACATTTCTACGAAGTATGCGAGTGGTAAGGTGGTAAGTTTTGAAAAGAGAGTTGAGTTAAAGCTGCTACTGCTAGGCCCGCCAAACCCCGATTTTGTTATCTCAAACTAAAATCACGAGAGAGCCAGTTTCTCTTGTTTATACATGCCAATTGATTTAACTCTTCACCATTGAATGCATATACGACAGTTATAAATAAAACAGTTTGTATCCTAAACCAACATTTAACTTTTAAAATAACTTGTTTTTTAACTTTTAACTAAACTCCCCGGTGTCAGTAGGGCCTAACCACCCATAAAAAATAGTACGCGCCCTCCCACTACCTTAACCCACCAGTCGCCACTGCTGTACAGTTTTTAATTTATTTCTGGTGAGTTTAGTAGGCTAGTAGCTACCCAGCCACAAATGTTTGGTGTTTTTTTTTTCTTTTTTTCAATAGCCTACTGTACAAAATCTTGTTTTAATCTGATTAGGCCTGAAATCATTATCATACCGTAATCTAGTAGTGAGCCTACAATATTATTCATTCATAATAGTGTTTTCAAACCCTTAATTATTTCAGAGTGCAATACAACTATGGGGCCAATTCACAGCCAAAACCTTCTGCTATGGGACCAGATGATTCAATGAAATCTGTGCTACAAGTGCTCAAGGAGATCTCTCGCAAAAGGATTCATTCTCATGTAAGTTAACTGATCAATATAGATTAATAGATCAGTCTTCTATGGACTATGACTACTACACACCAGCATAGTTTATATTATTACAAAGATGTGTCTCAAATATATTGAGTGGTATCTTTATGGTAGACTGAATTACCTGGTACATTAGTCAGCATCTGTATATTTAATATGTGAATGCGATATCTACAAAACACTACTCCTACGTTAAAACTAAACTGATTTGTTTGCCTAGGTACCTATTTACTGTAACCAATCGATTAGGTACTTATTTTACTAAAAGACTTAGTACACTCAATAGGTTCCCCTCTGTAATAGAAATCACTAATTTGTACTATATCTAGGCCTAGGCTATAGGCCAAATTCTAAGTAATAGAGTAATTCCCATATTTTGTTTGGAATCAATTTAAAACACTATATTTTTACAATAAAATTAACATTAAATACAAGAACATATTTTTTTTAAATATATTCTTCACGTGTTTATCCAAGCGATCAACGATTAAAATGATTGATAATCATGTGAGTTTTGTTCTACAGTAGACTCCCTCTTATCCGAATGCCTTTTAATCGAACATCAGTTTAACCAGACTACACTCGGCGGTAATGACAACTCTTTAACTGGACAATTGTTATCAGCACATCGGTTTAAAACCGGACTAGATCGGCAGGAAGTAGGCAGTAATGAAACAACTGTTCTCGTGGGAAAGATTTGAGACCAGTGATCACGTGTCTAAATACACTACTGTATATACAGTACAACTACTGTAATATACAGTATGTATTTAAAACGGTCTGTTTTAACGAGTCTTTGGGGACGTCGGTTTAACCGGAGAACCCGTTGTCCGTTGGACTGGCCTCGGTCCCGAGGAGTCCGGATAAGAGGGAGTCTACTGTACATTTATTCATCATTAACCTTATAGCACAGCCTACTGAATCTATATGTTTCAATATTGATACACCATTTTAGTAAAACAAATGTCATTGGCCTTATTTAATATTATTTTTTAATGCTGCCAAACCTGCTTTTGAAACTAGTTGATTTGATTTTTAGGTTGTGTTTATTGGAAAGGACATACAGTAGAGAGTCAAAAATCCGAACTAATTGGGACCGTAGGTAGTTCAGATTAGGTAGTCTACCGATTTGTTCAGATTTTCAAACATAGCCTAGAAATGCCTAATATAGACACGTAATTAGGCCTACAGTATTAAAAATACAGTTCTAGGATACAGTGAATGAAATAAAAACAATGATTTTTGTACTTAGGTATTTTCGTTACATTAGCCTACCGTAGTTCGTTTCTTGAAAAATTAGTAGGCCTAGAGTACAGAGGGGCTTGGCCCGTTCACTCATTTCCCTGCCGGGCGCCGACTGTTTGGCCCGCGGAATTGTATAACATCTGTTGTCTCTATACTAATTCAATATTTTAAAACTCTCAGGAGGGGTTTGGATTTTTGACGTGCTGGATTTTTGACTCTCTACTGTTAACTATGAAGCAGAGGTCACAAATCTTCATTATTTGTATTTATTGTTCATAAATTGAACTTATGATCTGTGCAGGTTGATGAGGATGATGAGGAGATCTCAAAGCGTTCTCGAGTCGCAGATTCCCAATTTGGAAATGACGGACTACTTCACACGTCTCTGTTACAGCAGACTATACAGTAAGTTTTTGGTGTCAGCCACTGAAGTTCAAAAATCAAGTTTTCAGTTTGAAATCAAAAAATTAAAATTTAGACACTAAAGAAGTTTTCTTTTGTACTTTCATAGTTATCTTACATAGTAGAGTCCTGATTGCCTGTTTCCATCTTTGTGAGAAGGGAGATAATAATTTAATACAATGTAGAATAAAGAATACTGAAGTTAAAGTTGTTTTTGTAAGTCAAACCAAAATAAATAGGAAATCCTATGTGTAGGCCTTATGAGGTGGTAGAGCAATTTCTGTAGCCAATAGGTTAAAATGAAGACTAGGCCTACCAAGTATTGTTAGGGCCTATATCTGATAACTTACAGAATATGCTGTAGTTAACAAGATCTTGAATTTGTTTCAATAATTATTTTTCTTCACAAGTCTTCAGCACATGCAATATTTATACTTAACCCTCCGAGTGTCATGCGTCGCTGCAGCGACTCACGAACACTGTTTACGGCGAAGGCTCTATGACTGACAAAATCGGATTGAACTGGATCGAGTTTGGTATCGTTCTTTTCATTATATTCTAAGCTTTCTCCAGAGGTCTGTCTCTAAGCGCTTTATGTTCTCCGAGCCGATCGTAATTGTAGCAGACAGCTGACGTGCGTATTTGTAAACGTGTTAGTTAACCTCGGACCGATGACTGATGTGTTTTATTATGTTTATCATTGTTTTAGTGTTAAAAATCAAAAGTAGTGATATACGTGGTGCATTATAAGAAGATTTAAGTGATTTTGAAGGGCTGGTTGATGATCCTGAAGAAGTAGGTAGTGATATTGATGTAAATTATCAGCCAGATTCCTAGCTATGGTTAGGCTATGCATTCTTAGCTAAACGCTATGTACTGAAATCTGTTTTTTGCCCTTAACTTATTTATTTGCAAATCTACTTCCTTATATTATTATATATTTGTAATCCTCATAATATTAGAACAAAGTGGCTATTTTCAAATATTTATAGGCCTATAATTTATACAATTTCATTGAGCGCGAACTTATTTTTTTTTTTCAATTTTTCCAAAATAATTTTTATTTTTACCTAAAAAAATTTTTTTGAAACAAATATTCCTTAGGTTTTATGTATGATATTGAAGCCCATAATTTTCCAAACAAAATGGTATATAGAACAGTAGAATTAACATTGTTTTAAGCTTTTCAGATCCGTTTTAATAAAACCTTGCAAATGCGCCAAAAATAGGCGGTCATTAAGGCCCAAACTATGGACACTCGGAGGGTTAATAATTTTGTTTTATCCAGGCTTTTTATTTTTACTGATAAGGGACCCAGCATTTTCGTCATGAGCATCACCCATACCTCTCCATGAAGCAGTGTGTTTTTGCTAAAATTATGTTACTTATTTTAGGGGGAAACGTGTGAGAGAGGAATCGTCCCCAAATGAGGATGATAAGAAGAGACACAAAGCCTCCCTGAAAAACAATGAAATATTATCATCATTGAGTTCCAGTGTTTCAGTACGGCCACCACATTTAAAAACTGCAAAGCGCAAAGCTCAGTGTAAGTTTTTTCTTATGTTAACTGTTTATATATTTTGCTGTGTGAAAAATATGTTATAACGGTCATTGTTAACAATTTTGTTCAAATGCTTTGCTCCTCTCAGAGTTTTGCTCTTCTATAATGTCAAAACTGTAACAATAAAATCTTTCTCTTCAAATATAACCCAACCTATTAAATTGGAAGTGAAACTCAGTATTCTTATTTTCACTTTAAAACAGGATTTACTTGAACAATCCGTAAATTATTTGTGTTATTTTAACTTACTTGTTTTCCCCAGTTTTTTAATGGTTATTTTAACAAATTTGTTGTTTTTAGCCATAGACGATTCTCTCACTTCTACCCCTGTTCTTGGCAAACTTCTGAAGGTCCAAACCGAAGTTACACCTCCTACACTGACCAATCGTATAACTGCTCCTGATTCTGGTGGAGCTACTACTGCTGCTGCCAAAATTGTAAAGGTGGGTCTTGTACAGTTAATCAGAGTGTATAACATTATGTTCAATTAGATGAATGAGATTTCCATGTAGCACAGCAATTTGTAGGAAGTTACTTTGTAAAATTTGAATGCTATATTATATTTTGGAAAAGGAAAACACAAAACAAGGAAATGGGCCAAAATGTGAGGGAAATAGATGTTGGATTATTTTTTTTACAAAACAATTTTTCAATGAAAGTATGGTTCCCTGGTTAAATTTGTATGAACCGCATAAACATAATTTGTTTGAAAAAATATTTAATACTAATTTTGTGCAATACAATTTACAATTTTTACTATATTATTGTTTCATTTTAGGAGACTAAGAGGTCGTCACCTGTCATCTCATCACCCGTTCCACCTCCTGCCGTTGTAGAGACCGTTGCTACACATAAAGAGCCACCTAGAGGGGAGGAGAAAGAAGAAGAAGGAGCTGTGTCCCGTCTACTGGGCCGTATGTCCAACCAGCCGAGCCACTCTGTGCCAATCAATATACCTGTCAAGAAGAACGTGTTCATGTCCACCAACGATCTCAGCCTGTCTCCGCCTAAGGAGAACCGACTGGCGGCAATGATAGCAGTTCTGGGAGGACCAAGTGAGTTAATGGTTCAAACATATTCTTTGTTATGACATCATGCTCTGTCAGTGCAGTTTACTGATTAGTGCTAAGCGTTGGAGAAACAACTGATCAGCTGTGGTATTTGAAATGTTAATAGTTTGTGCCATTTTGAATAGGCCTAGTACAGTTGATATTTGAAGCTGGTACAAAGCTAGCATGATCGGACTTTGGGAATGGAGTACCAATAGGTTTTTCCCTATTTTTGAACCCCGAGCCATAACATTTTACAATTTATTCCCAAACTATTTTGTAGAGCTTATAACAGATAAATTGCTTTTTGAAGCATTGTTAAACAATTAGAAGTTATCAAGAAAGAATTTTAAATTTTTGAATGAAAGAGACGCAAGGGATACCCGCTCTGGCTCGTCCACGCTTCGCATTCCTCATCACAGAACAACTCTGTTTATAACAAATCATTTTTAGTAACAGCATGCCGCCTATGGAACTCCATACCTTTTCACATTAAATCCATGAAAACCGATCCCGACTGATGGTGACGCTGAAAGGATATTACCTTGACCGGATGGCCGTGGCTTGGCGGGGTGGCGTGCGTTAGGCCTAGATGCAACAGAGGGTGTACGTGTGTGTGTGTGTGAATGTATGTTAGGGAATATTAAATAAATTATGATATTTTATAACTTGTTTTGTTACAAACTGTGTTGTAATTTTTGTTAATATTTTGTTGTTATCATTAGTTTTTTAGAGGTTAACTGTAAGAAAGGGCCATGAGGTCCTAAGTTCGCCTCAATAAAGAAGGATTATCTTTTCATCATTCATTTTCCTAGTTATTGAGAAAACAGCCTCTTTTTTGTGAAACTACACATCGATGGTTTTGTCAATATTTGAGACATCTTGATTAGCCTATAATTAATCAGATGAATGGCAAATGCAGAATTGGGTTTGTGGATGGATGGTTTTGGTAAGTGTTCCTTATATCTCGTTTTAAATGAGCGGGTGGTTTGTCCAATATAAAAACCAGGGCAGCTGTAACAATTAAATTTATAAACACCAGATCCTCACGCCTTTAGCACTTAAAAATCTAATTACATCGCACACTTCACAGTCGGCAGCAGTCTACTACTTGGTACAGTCCAGCCTCAGTATAACGAATCTGAAGGGACCGAACTGAATATTCGTTATATCAAGGATTTTGTTAAAATGAGGTTCGTTATATAGAGGTTAGGTTTGCAGGAATTTTGCTAAGTCGAGGTTCAGAACCAGCGTTGGTCAATATAGGCCGGGATTTGACCTCATTAAAACACAATTAAAGTAGCATAGGCTACAATACTTTACAGTACAGTGTTCATTGTACAGTAGAACCTTCTGTATCCAATAGTCAATGGTAGAATCTAAATTATCCGGCATAATAAAGGTGAGGGATCTTGAATATTGCACAATCATGACAATGGCATTGATCTTGGTACAGGTTAAAAACTGTAAGTTTAAAATCACAGCTTGTTCTAACCCTCCTAAAACCTAGCCAAACACTACATTGTGTAGTAATAAACCATGTAAAAAACTAAACAAACCAGTAGAAAGTTTTGTAAGCTACTGACTGCTCCGTGATAGGCCGGTAGGCTACTTACAGTACAGTACTGATTTATCACAACAGAGGAATGTCAATAATAATCATTAACTATGGCATTGGTGTTGCTAGTTGAAACAAATCGTATTGAAAACAATAAATTATTAGCCTTAAATAAGTCATTATAAAAGTGCATATTCATAGCCAAGTTAAAGATAATAAAAACACTCGTAAATTAAGGAATGTTAAAATAACTGAACAGTTTTAAATATAAAATGAAACTAACATTATGTTACATAGATTTTACTTCCATTTCAAAATCATGAACAACACAAAAACAAAAACAAACAAACAATTAAGTCAGCTGAAAACTATTTAAATTAATATATCTGTTTTAAGACAGTACAAACTCTTCCCCCATGAAATAATTCAAAGGATACTGTCGATTCTATATCTTCCGAAGTTGATTTATGTGCCGTCTCCATAGCATGTCATCAACAGCAACGGAGTACATAACTCTTCCAATTCTTTTCTTTATTTCGCCTTTTCTCCAAACAATTTTGCCATTTTTCACCATTTCTCTTACCAAAACATGTTCACCTTCTTTGAATTCTCTTATGGTTCCTTTGAAAGATGTACATCCTTGTTGGGCTCTGCGAAAGGTAGGTTTCAACGTTGACTCTAATGAAGGTCTCAACACATCTAACGAATTCCGCAGTTTTCTTCCAAACATCAACTCTGCCGGACTTTTTGTTGTTGTTGATGTCGGTGTTCGTCTGTGAGATGAAAGAACTTTAAGAAGTTTTTCTTTTAGGTTTCCATTTGTGTCCACTTCTTTTCTTAAGTACCTTTTCACTTCTTGAACATAGCGTTCTGCTTGACCATTGCTCTGCGGATTATATGGTGCAATGGTTCTGTGAATAATACCATTATGTTTTAAGTAATTACTAAACTCTTCTGATTTAAATATTGAAGCATTGTCACTCACCAATGTATAAGGTAGGCCGAATCTTGCAAAAATATCTTCCAAAAACTCTATGGTTTTCTTTGATGTTGCTTGTGTCATGGGACAGGCTTCTAACCATTTAGAGAATGAATCTACAACCAGTAAAACGTATTGATTTGATACAGGTCCTAAGAAATCAACATGTATTCTTTTCCACGGTGCATTTTCTGGTTCCCATGGATGCCACGCTTTAGCAGGATTCTTCTGATTTCTTTGGCAGGGTGTACACTGTTTCACAAATTGTTCTATATCGAGATCCATGTCTGGCCACCAGACATAACTTCTTGCAAGGGCCTTCATCCTAACAATTCCTGTATGAGACGAATGTAGATCATTCAAAACACGTTTTCTCAGAGTGCGTGGTATAATAACTCGATCGCCTCTCATTATACAACCGTCCACTATACTCAATTCATCCAAGTGTTTTTTATACTCCTTATGACCCAATGGTTTACCTCGTAGTAAGCAATCGTAAATATCTTTCATTACAATTTCCTTCTGAGTTTCCTCTTGAATTTCGTCCAGCTTCACAGGCAATACATCATTGAATTGCCTAATTTGGTATAAACACGCTCTGTTTATGTCATCCATGAAATTTTCATCCTCTTTTCCTATTATCGGTGCTCTCGAAAGGGCATCAGACGAGACATTCTCCTCAGAAGTTATATGTTGAACGTCGTAGTCAAAACCTTGCAGGAATATGGCATACCTTAGAAGTCTTTGCGCAGTCATTCGTGGTAATTCCTTTGCGGGGTTGAAGATAGAAACAAGTGGTTTATTATCTGTTCTTAAAATAAACCTTTTGGAAAACACATATTGAAAAACTTATTTACACCCCAAAAGATTGCTGTAGCTTCTTTATCGATTTGAGAATACGACCGTTCCGTGAGCGTAAGAGTGCGAGAAGCGAAACATATTGGTCTTTCCGATCCATCCGGGAGAGCGTGTGAAAGAGTAGCTCCAAGCCCTACTGGACTGGCATCAACTGACAGAATAATTGGTAATTTAGGGTCATATGGAACTAAAACTCTATCTGAAGCAATTTCCTTTTTTGTTTGAAGCCAAGATTTCTCACATTCTGAGGTCCAGGTAAACTTTCTACCACCTCTGGTCAGTTCATACAAAGGGTGTAACAAGCTTGAGAGATGATTGACAAACCTTCCATAATAGTTAATGAGACCCAACCAGCTTTTAAGCTCATCTTTATTGGTCGGTCGGGGAGCATTTACTACCGCCTCCACTTTGTCTTTACATTTGTGAATACCCTTTTCTGATATTTCATGTCCTAAATACACAATCTTAGCTTTAAATAAATTACATTTCTTACTATTGACTCGCAAGTTATTATTGGATAACCTTCTGAAAACTTCTTTTAGCTGATCTTTGTGCTCCTCTAACGTTTTACTCACTACTCTAATGTCATCGTAAAACACCGTAACACCTGGAATGTTGTCTAGAGCTTGAGATATGAATCTTTGCCACTCAGCTGGAGCATTTTTGATTCCGAACATGAGTCTATTGACAGCATATACACCCTTATATGTGCTAATGGCCTGTACTCTGGCACTCTCGTTGTCCATGGGAATGTTTAAATACGCTTGAGAAATATCAATAGTCGAAAAATACTTACAGCCACTCATGCTCGCAAATATGTCATCCAATGTTGGAATTGGATAATGATCAGGTTCCAAGGTCTTATTAACTGATACTTTGTAATCAGCACAAAGCCGAATATCCCCGTTTGGTTTAACTATCGGTACTATAGGTGTACCCCATTGACTGTAGGTCAACTTTGAGAGAATTCCCTCCTTTTCTAACCTGTCAATTTCATCATTGACTTTATCCCTTAAAGCAAAAGGAACAGGGCGGGGTGGCAGGTAAACCGGCTTAGAGTTTGGTTTCAAACTCAAATGAGCTTCATAGTTCGGTACTTTACCCACTCCTGGTAAGAAAACATTAGGAAATTCGCTCTTAAGATTCTCTATAAACTGGTCTTTTTTATGATCTGTTTGATCTTCTGATACCTGGTTTAATGAAGGAAGCTCAATTTTGAACAACTTTAACCACTCCCTTCCAAAAATACTGTCTACGTTCCCCCGAATAACATACAGGTTGCCCACAGATATTTGAGTTTCATAGAAAAGTTAGACAGTCGCAAACCCTACCGGGCGAATTATTTCTCCTGTATAGGTTCTTAACGGCATTCTTGTTCTATTTAGAATCTTACCTGGAAATAATTTCTTAAACAGATGCAGCGGTATAGTACTGACCGCAGCACCAGTATCTAACTCAAAAGAGTTACGCTTATCGTCAATGGTGCAGTCTAACATAATCTTTCCCGGCCTGTTTACCATTTCGGGTTGATATGCATCATCCGAGAGCTTAGACAATTTAGTACATTTCTTCTTTCTATCCACAACGGATAAAATTGACATAAAAGGTGGATTTTGACACTCACCTTCCTCTTCATACTCATTTCCTGTCGAAGCGTCATCAGCTTGTCGCATGTTTTGTTTCTTTCTCCGACAAACTTTGCTGAGATGTCCTTTCCTCTCACAATTCCAACATTTAATGTCTGCTGGAATTTCGCACGCACTTATGTGATGGTGTCCCCCACACCTGAAACATGATATTTTACTACCCTTTCCTTGCAAATATCCAGCGCTTTTCTTCCCTCGAATCTGAAATTGTTCTCCAACTTTTGATTGCAAATTTGATTCTTGGATTTTCGTTGTTTCACTTTTGATTTGCTCAAAGTTACTTGCTATTTCAAGACATTGGTTAAACGTTTTATCTTCGTGAATTTCAATTAATCTAGACAGCAATTTTCCATCATGAATGCCCGAAATAAACTGTTGCCGCAGATGAACGTCAGATGTTGATGCATTACATTTTGGACATTTAAAATCACATTTACTGGCTAAGGTTTTCAGATCTTTGGCGAAGCTGCCTACAGATTCACTCGGATTCTGGATTCGTTTAGTGAACTTATGTTGTTCTGCAATAATACTTCCCTTAGGTTCCAGTAATAATTGTAAAGCTTCACATATTTCGTCATAACTTTTATCCTCAATGTCACATGGGCTTAGATTAATTCTCAGGTCGTGAAATACTTTAGGTGTCAATAAATTGATCAAATATTGCTTTTTCTTTAATTCTGACGTAATTCCATTTAGGTCAAAAAAGTTGTCTAGCCTTACCATGTATGAACTCCATGTCTCATTGTCTTCATCAAATTTATCAAAATTAGAACAGAAAAAAACAAACAAACAATTAAGTCAGCTGAAAACTATTTAAATTAATATATCTGTTTTAAGACAGTACAATAACGATGTTGCTATTGTTGTTTGTTTGTTGGTTGTTTGTGTTGCTATTGTATTGTTGCTCTTTGCTTTTGTTTTTATATTCTTTCTTAGATTTCTCTTTATCCAAAAATTGTACAATTCACCATATTTACTTATCACCCAATCACAGCTTACTACAGATTACGTCGTCATCAGTCCTCAGTGAATGAAATCAGTTCTCAGTTGCAACATTGCGTGCGCAGCGACAGCAGACAGAGAGATGTGTAAAACGGAGCAGACGAATGTCAGTGCAAGCGATGACGTCACCTTTCCATTTCATTTGATAAAGAAACAGATTTTCCAAAAACAATACTGGGGTGGGGGATTTGTTATATCAAGGGAAACACGTAGACAATTCGTTATGCAGAAGTTAAATTCGCAATGTAGAGGTTCTGACAATGATAAATTCGTTATATTGAGGTGTTTTATTGAGTCGGAATCACCAAAAATTTGTTAAATCAAGGTCGTTGTTATGGTTTGTTCGTTATGTAGAGGTAAAATATACATAGTCTCTTATGGAGAGTCATAGGGGATTAAAAAAATTTGTTATATCAAGGAATTCGTTATATTGAGGTTCGTTATATCAAGGTTAGACTGTACTTTGGTTTAGTAGAGTTTGGTTAACCTTCCAAATGTAAGGACTACCTCTTTGTATTCAACTTTTCCTCAACTCAAAACATGAAATTTAAAAAAAAATATATTTTTAATTACTTCTTAAAACTTACCCAACTAACAATAGATTCATTATTTCAGGTGAACAATCAGAACTAGAGGGCCCTCAATCAGAACCACAAAAACAACCAGAAAGATTAATAAAAGGGAAAGCTTTATTCACAACTCCTGAATCACCTGCTACACCAGAATCTGCCAAACTGAAGAAGAGTGTTACTTTCAGTGAAGCTCTGACTTCTACAAAGATTTTTGAAAAGGATGAACCTGATGGTGGAAGTTTGAACAAAGTCAACTCTGTTGCGGTTCCATCAACTCCCCTCTCTTCATTCAACGCTTCTGGCAGTCTGAAAATGGGATCGGAAAGTCCTAATGCTGCCAAACCATTGACTTTAAATTTCAGTTCCCCTTCATCAGCTCCCCGCAAAGAAGCATCAAAACCCAATGAAAGTACAAATTTAACAACAAACAGCCTCACAAGTATTGTTTCATTTAACCTTTCATCTCCAGGGAAGGTTCAAACTCTACCCTATAAGTCACCATCTTCATTTCCAATTCTACCTCGAGTGTCGAGTAACGGTTCCACAAATGTATCATCACCTGGAGGATTTAAATTTCCAGCAAACAGTTCTCTGTCCGACACAAGCAAAGGAGATTCACCCAAACCAAACTCACCTGCAGTTAAGCCGTTTGCCTCATTTGGTGGTGAAACAAAGACTTCTCAACCGGATTCAGGGTTTCCTTCGTTGTTTTCGCCAGCAACATCCACAACAGCACAGTCAGTTAGTACAGCTGAACAAAATAAATCCATGTTCAACATGTTTGGAAACAAAGACAATTCAACTCCGCCTGCCACGGTTGAAAATGGTAATAAACCTCTAGTGAATGGTTTTGCACCAACTTCAAGCAGTTCTTCGCCCTTTGCTCTGCAAGCAAGTGCAAACAAACCTCCAAGTAACACACCAAATTCTTCTGTTTCACAAGTAGCTTCCCCTTATAGTTTTGGGTCAACAAGTGGATTTTCTGCAAGTTCCGCTTCTTCTTTATCAACAAAACCATTAGCCAGTTCAGCTCAACAATCTACTGCAGCAAATGTTTCAGCGCCTCAACCAAATGCTTTAACCAGTAATGCTGCCTCTCCATCTGTAAATATGTTCAGTTCTGTTATCAGTAAATCGAGTCCCTTCGCTGCTGGAGGTATACAGGCCCCGGCTGCCTTTGGAAATGGGTCTCTAAGACCGCTTTCATCAAACAGCCAGACTTCTCAAGCAAACACAATATTTGGAAGTGCTCCATCACAAGGAGGATTTGGAAGTTCAACATCATTGCAAAATGGCACGGTTTCATCAAGTGGAACAACTGCAAACAATAACATGTTTGGAAATGCATCAACAACTATCAAGCCCATTGCATTTGGCAATGAATCTAATTCTGTAACCCAACAATCAACTGTGTTTGGATTTTCAGGTACAGCGGCTACAACTCAAGCAAGCAGTCCTTTTGGAATCTCATTAAACAGTTCTACAACGACTGCTTCCACTATGTTTGCCAATAATACCCCTACATCAAAAACTCCAACCATGTTTGGCAGCACTACTACATCGAATACTCCAGCCATGTTTGGAAGTACTACGTCATCAAATAATCCAACCATGTTTGGCAGTACTACGACATCCAATACTTCGACAATGTTTGGCAATGCAACAACCACCAATACCCCTACCATGTTTGGAAGTACTACGACATCTAATACTCCAACTATGTTTGGCAGTACTACAACAGCCAATACTCCAACCATGTTTGGCAACACAACAACATCTAATACACCAACCATGTTTGGCAATGCTACCACAGCAAAATCTGCATCTGTATTTGGTAATCCAACAAGTATTGGGTCGCAGAGCAGTCCTTTCTCAGCACCTTCAACCACTGCTCAGCCTTCGCTATTTGGCACTGCAACAAGCAGTGATGCTTCAAAGAATGTATTCGCAGGTGCCAATAACCCTACACCCAACTTTGGAGGTTTGGGCACCACGCCGAGTTCCTCTTTTGGTAATCAAAATAATCCTACTTCAACCTTTGGAAGCCAGAAGACTACTGCAGCTTCTACCTTTGGAAACCAAAGCAATCCTACTTTTGCTTTTGGAAGTCAAAACAGCACAAACACGGCTGGTGGATTTGGTTCATCTGGAACATTCGGTGCCAATTCCACTAGTTCAAACACGGGTGAAGCAAAACCGCCAGCTTTCGGTGCAAGCTCTCCATTTATGTTTGGCAACTCCACAGCGGGCAAGCCAACAGAATCTGTGAAACCGCTCGGGACGGCAACACAATTTGCATTTAGTGCAACCGCTCAGACAAGTTCTCCAGCGCAACCTTCAGTGCCAAGCTTTGGCGCTGCGCCTCCTTCATTTGGACAAAGTGCCCCTCCACCGACATTTGGAGCTGCCACAACGCAACCTGCAGCCTCTTCTACCTTCCAGTTTGGACAGGCATCTTCATCTGCTGCCCCGGCATTTCAGTTTAATGCTGCACCTCCAACTGGTAAGATTTGAACAATTTTATATCAGCATTAGCCTAGGTATTTTCCTAAGTGGTTTTCATCTCAAGGAACATGGGACTTGTTTTGCTGTGATATAAGATTTACTATTTGGTAATCTTAGCTAATTTTGCAGTTTTTTCTGCAGTTTCAGTTTAAACACAGTTTCATAAAGATATTATAGATTAAGCCTAAAGAAAAAAATATTTTATACAAATCCAAAAAAATGGCACATATATGCTCAACTCATGGTTTTTAAATGTGTTCATACATTTTATTCTTCTTGAAATATATATTATAGGGTTCTTTGAATGCTTTTTTATGTGTAGGTAGGTACAAATAAGTAATTTTCTTTTCTTTTTTTTGGAGCAACAACTTTTGACCTTGAACATTTTAATGGAAACCCTCTAATTATAATTTAGCTTTGTTTAAGTTACAAAATTCTAAAAAAATTATCGTGTTCAAATATTGTTACAGTCGGTGGAGGAATGTTCAGTATTGGTTCTGGTGGGTCCACGACCTCTCGTCCCAAAACTACAGCACTCCGGAGGAGCCACAAGCGGACATAAGTCTACGGTTAGTTTGTTGTTTTTCAATATATGTTATTTATAAAACTAAAAAAAACCTAGCTGCAAAACAAGACATTTCTCCAATGAACAAGGCTTTGTAACTAAAAATATTTTATAAACATGCAAGCATTGTTACGAACGCAATTAAAAACTGAAAAACTAGTTGCAAAGCAAGACATTTCTCCAACAGACAACTGTTTGTAACTATAGTTATTTGTGCAACTAGTGAGCAATTGCCTCACTCGAGAGAAATCCGTACTCACGAGCTGGGCCCTGTTTCATAAAAATACTAGTGTAGTAAATACTAGTCCCGTATTTACCTGTCCTACTAATTTGTGTTTCATAAACGTTTTTATACCGCTAGTAAATACTAGTGTATTTTACGAGTTACGTGACCAAAACTACTAGTCACGTGACCAACTTTACAAGGTAAACTTTCAAAACAAATTTCTAACCTCAATCACGAGATTACAAATCCTTTATAAAGGGTTTTAATTTTGTTTTCATTTGATACAAAAAGTAAATAGTTGTAGAAACGCAGTGTTTTCTTTTAATTAACAACTATATAGACACATAGGTAAAACAATCACACATTATTTATCAAAACGCTCTTATTTATGTTCATCAATGAGCTCGCCGGCGCGGCGTCGCGTCGCTGCATGCTGCAATCAACACGGTGATTGTAGTAGCCGGTTGTAGGCCTATATCTATACCGATAGCCTATATCGGTTGTAGGGTCGTATATCTGCATATGATGGCAGAATATTTCAGTTCTGGCAGAGAGTCAGTTCAGCGTAAAAGTCTTGTTTGAAACGGTGGGTCACAACCCTACCTTTACATTTGAAAAAATAACTTTTTATCCAAAATGGCGGATCCAAGATGGCGGCCAAAAACTTAAACCCAGTCAAAATGAAGTACTTGCTACACTAGAATGATCTGACATGGTTTTAAGTTGATATCTTAAGAAATGTATAAAAAAGTAGGGGGGGGAACTCATTTAAAACTCACCCTGTATAAAACAATTCACAATTATTTTCCTCATAACTTTTTTTTAGTTTTGAACAGCCACCATTTTGAAATGACTTGATGAAAGTTGACCATTTTCAACCCAGGCCGAGATAATGTATTCAAGCACTTGTGTGCCAAATTTCATGAAAATCGGTTCAGGCATTCGGGTCGTTATAGCCAATTCATGGGGACCCAGCATCCTCTTACGGCCGCCATTTTGATGACGTTATTACGGACGACCGAGGTCCTTAAAAATTGGGGTCTGGGTGGTTTTAGGTTCAGAAACTTGTATACTATAACCACCTAAAATTGCAGCCTCTCTGCCAGAACTGAAATATTTTCCTGCTACCCAACTTGACTATAGTTGCGGCGCTCAACAGTTGGGTGGAATTTGATCTGTTGCTGCCGCATTCGCTGTGATTTGTATAGTTTTTGTTTTATTCTGACATATAAAATTAAGCTTGCTATGAGTAAAGAAAAGAAGGCTCAAATTTTGAATGTAATTAAATTGTCTAAGGACATTTTGTTTATTGGAACGGTTTCAAGTACACTTACCAATGTTTCCAAATATTCGAATGCATAATATAGGATATTTTGGTTGAAAACCATTTAGAGATATTCAAATTTTGAGTCTACAAACCATGAATAATAAGCCTAAACGTTTATTGATGTAACAAATAATTGCAACGCCGTTACAAGCAATGGAGAAGTAGGTTTTCAAGTATAGTAAAAAATGGCATTGTCGCTACGGCAGGGCGTAGCTCAGAGAGTTCTCGCTAGTCATGTGGTGGGTCCCTGGTTGAAATCCGCGCCACTCACTTTACTTTTTATTCTATTAATTAAACTGTTACATGTTTTACATTAAAATAACAGCTCTAATCAACATCTATTTTTTTATTACTTTGAATAACAAATTCAGAATACCAAAATGTTAAAAGTAATGTTTTTATGATAGCAGAAGTACCTATATTAACGGTACCTATTAAAATGTCTTTAAATAAAACCGAGAGCCTTGGGTGTAAAATAATCTGATTAATGTTGTAATGTTGGATACATTTGTTACATCTTTGTATGCAATACAGTATGCAGTTTTAATTTGGTTCTTAAAGCTTAAAAATCTTTTCTCTGTGATAGCTAAATAGTTTATATAACCATGAAATTTAACTCAAGTACAATTAGACTAAAATTTCACAGAAATTGATAACTTATAATAATAATTATTCTAATAGGTTGATTTTACACACATTATAAAATTCAATTTTACTCATTTTGTACTACGCCACATTTATTGATTGTAATTTACATCTAATAATTATCATTTTAGCACTCACAGATCTATTTTCATCTTAAATTGCAAACTTTTGAGCCAATTCACACTTGAAAAAGAATTTAATAATTTTTTTTTTTTATGATTTGAGTAATTAAATAACTCTCTTTCCAAAAATACTAGTCTACTTCAAATAATACAGGTGAAGAGAGGTTCTTAGAAAATGGCAAGTATTTACCAGTGTAATTTACAAGAGTAAAACTTTATGAAAGACATTGCTGTCTACACTAGTAAAAACCACTAGTAATACTAGTCCCTACACTAGTAACTAGTATTTATACTAGACTAGTAGTTTTATGAAACAGGGCCCTGTAGGCGAGTGAGGCAATTGCACTTTTTACTCTAGTTGCACATTATATTTTTCCTACAGTTACCATAAAACAAATAAATAAGAAATGTAACATATTTTTACACAGAAGTGAACTTTTAATATGACATTCAATGTGAAAGTAGCCTTAATAAATCAGAAACAAAATTATAAAACAAAAAATAATCTCCTTAAAAAATGAACACAAACACCCTTCTGGAGTACAAGACTCTTCTGGTGAACTATTATTACTAAAATCGTCATTAAGGTCCATTTTGCGACAGCAAAACCACCTTCAATGTTTACAAATGGCAAATCAATGAAATAGTGGCTTCTGTCGTGACCGGTCAACAGTACAACAGCTGACCAGCTGATTTACAGCCAGTTCTGACAACGTATTTCGCGCGCATACGACCTTGTCTGCATGTTACGCGCTCACTATTTTATGCCTTCACGTTGCAAATCTGGAGTGTGACAAAGTAATTAGAGTGAGACAATGTTAACATTGTCTCACTGATGAGCGAATTGGCCATTTTGCTTTCTCAAATCAGTAAAAGAACGTTGTACATTGTTAGGTAACTGTAGGAAAAAAATATTTGATACACATGCAAGCATTGTTACAAACACAACTAGAAACTGAAAACCTAGTTGCAAAGCAAGACATTTCTTCAACGAACAAGTGTTTGTAACAAAAAATAATTAATACACATCTGCAAGCATTATGACAAACACAATTAGTGACACATTATACAGTTCTCTATGAATCTGTTTATTTGGTCTATACTAAACCAAGTCAATTGTGATGGTCAAATCCAGGAATTTTGAATCTTGGATCCGAATTTTGAGTCCCAAAAATAATTCCTTATAGTCACAATAAAAACCAACTGCATGATTTGCTATTGCTACCCTTGTTGCCATTGAAAAATATGCAGCTGCCAAGTTATGTGATCAAAGAAAAAACTCCTATGGCGAGTGCTGGTAAAAAAGTTGCATCAATATCTATCTTTATCAAATCAACTTTAGACTGATGTGCTATAATCTCCAAAGCAATTAACTTAATTCCAACTTTAAGTCTCTTCCTTAATTATTAATCTTAACAAATAAAGCAAGTTTTTTATTTAGTCATGTTCACTAGAATCTTACCCAATCAAATTAAATTGCACATAGTAGAAGTTAATCGAAATGTATAGATTTGTTCATATTCTAAGTCAACGTTTCTCTTTCTTTTTCCAGGTCTTTAGTACCCCGTGGAACTTCTTCATCACTCTGTTCTGAACTCTTGAATTGATCTGTCAATCAAATTATAAATATAATGTTGCCCAGGTGGGAACAAATTCATTTGACACGATTTGCCTTTCATCCTGCAAATGTTAAAATACTGTAAGTCATGTTTATGTAGTGAATTAATGAGTATTGCTCGCGTTTGAGCAAATTACGACAATTAGCTGTATATTTATTTTCAATGTGTTTTCAAAAAACCAAATGAAAAGTTTTTGAAAAGTACTGTTGATTATTGGAAATACATTTTATAAATGTGAAATAGTGGGAATATTTCCCTTGTTACCAATTTTGTTTGATATGATGTGAGTTAGAAATTTGAACGAGAGAAATTATGAATCTTAAAATGTCTGAGTGTGATTAAATGACTAAGCTACCTCCTCATTGTACTGTATTTGTAAACATGTATTTCAGCAAAAGTTCTAACCCCTCACACATTTAATGTAGGCATATCAATTTAAATAAGCTATCGGTTAAGTTAATAGTTCTCTGTAATTTCCCTCATTTTTAAATTTCCTCCCGTTTATTAATTTTGTTAACTATGTATATATTACTGGTTGATCAATCTGAATTTTAATACGTTTTATTCCTCCATGTATTTAAATGTTTTGATTTATTTTGATTTAATTTTAATTGTTCCTTAATATTGTGTTCTTAAACACTTCTAATTTTCTGATTTTTTATGATTACAGAAAAATTAAGTCTTCAATCCAAAGACGCTAAATTTTAACAAGGATAATTTTAGGAATCAGATTTGTATTATTAACCACCTTACTCCTTTATGTCACTTGCTGTTTTAAGTCATAGGCACTTTTGCTGAACTACAATAGTACTTAAAATGTGATAAGAGATATTTTTATACGAGAAATTGTTACATACTCATCATTGTCAGCACATAAACATACTTAAATAAATTCTTTTGTTTATATGCCTGTATAAAAAATTATTGTTTCACTCTGTGTATTATGTTACGAATTTTATATCTTATTTAGTTCAGTTTGTTTAGTAATAAATGAACATTTATTGGTTCTGAGAAATTGGTTCTTCTTTCCACCCAATTGCTCTAGTTGTTATCCTGTGTAAACCAGCAATCTCACCAGTCATCTAGACTGACTTTTGTTTTTTTTTTTTTTTTTTTTTTTTTGTAGGAATTGATGAATTTAACGTATTTTGAGTTTTGAGTCAAACTATAAACATAGAAGGTAGCCTTGGCCTATATTTTTTTTTAATAGGTGCTGCATAGTCTTGTCAAATAAAGCCAATATTTTTCATGATTTTCTGTAGAATGGTCCAAAATGTTAGAACTTTAGCCACAGGTAGCAAGTTACATGCTATTGAAATGGCAAAGTTTTGATGAGATCCTCAATTTGACAGTTCAAAGGCTGCACTCCACTGGCCGTAGTTAGTCGTGCGACAAAACTGTGGTTGGTTTTGGCACTGAAATGGGAAGGTAGCGATCAAACAAAGGTGGCTCCACTAGCGACAGCAGTGTAATTCATTTTATGGCGAACCGCAGAATGTAGCATCTTGCGGAAATGGAACCTTTCCTATTTTTGCACTACATTATAGACACCGCTGCGGATTTGTATTTCATGTGTAATTGTACCCAACTGTAATTGCAATGCGATAAACTACGGCCAGTGGAGCCGCAGCTTTATGGCTTGCAGTCAGATACATTTTTATATTGAAAAGTTTTCAATAACTATACTGATATGTTCTTCAACCTCATTGGCTTCCTTTATATCAGTAATCCTAATGTAGTGGATAAATAAATAGATAACTAATCGAGAGCGAGGGAAAAATCAGCTGATCATTTTTTTTCTCGCTCTAATCAAAAATAGTTCCTTTCGGTAGAAAAATGTTAACTTTGAAAAAATATTGCACAAAGTAAAATGTTACCCTCAGAATATGACATATTTTTGTGCGCTAAATTATCCGCTGTATTCCAAAGTGAAATTTTAATTACATTTTGATGCAGTAGAGTCCCGCAAACTCGGCGTAATGTGGACTGGAAGGGTGCCGAGTTTGTGAAATGCCAGATTATCAGGAACTAGGGTTAAAAGTAAGGACAATAAAATTTTTAAGCTTTTTAACCACTTTTTTTTATGTTACAAGTCAGTACTAACTCATCAGATATAGTACAAAAAATCCTTGGTACAAGTTGTGAATGATTTTACTTGAGCTGGCTTGAGTCCATGTTTAACTCGGACTCAAAATATCACTAATTTTCTGAGCCAGGTGATAGCCGAGTTATCCAGACTGCCGGGTTATCGAGTGCCGAGTTTGCGGGACTCAACTGTAATAACTGTATTGTCTAATCCACCTAACAACCATTCATAAAAATTTCTAAATTTATACCTAAAATTTGGAAAATTAATTTTTTATGAAACACACAAATGTTTTCTGTTATATGTTTCAAAATAGTATATTCTGTTATGTTACTCGATGCAGAATGAGATCACTGCAGATTGCCAAGGAGCGGGACTTATTTTTTAAATCTTAAAATAGCTTTTGGTAGCGTATGCTACGCTAATAGGAAACATCCTCCTTCATACTCAATGACAGACTGAAATCAATAGGTGGTTGGTTATGGAAATAAATTTGTATTGTAAATACTTAATAATGATTCATGAGACATTTGGCGTATGAAATTTCAACACTGATATTTGACGAGTGAAAATTTAAAAACGTACGTTTTCAGGAAAAGCACTTTGCAAAATTTTTTCCCCTTTTTTCAAAACTTTTATTAGTTTTTTTATTTCATTAACATTTGAAGTTTCATAAAATGTCCATGGTAACGCAAATTTTTTGGTAGTTTTTTTTTTTTAAGAGCATCTTTAGTGGAAAAACACAAAATCCTGTCACGACCATAACGGACGTTTAAATGAATATTAAAAATAGTTAATATTATTTTTATAACTATGTTTTGCTATAAACTAATTTACTTTTATGACCATTATACAATAAAAAGGTCACTGAGCTTTTGGTATATTTGGTCTTTCTAGAAAAAAATAAAAAAAACTCAAAAAATTGAAACAAAGCCAATAAAATCTTTTTAAGTTTGTATAACTCTGGAAAAACTTACCTGAGACCCGAAAAATCGTTATGTTTGTATATAGGTGTGCTTCTTTTGTGTATAAAACATTGAAATATGACAATATTTTAATTTTTGAAATTTTTATGATAGAAATCATAAACGTGATGGTCAGGGACAAGCGGTACGGTCGTGAATTGTCTGAAATAATCTAAATCTTTCTAAACAATCCTTCAATTATACTGTTAGTTATAATAAAAATATGTGTTTCAATTGAACTAAACTGTTCAATTTACAATTATATTAAAGTTATTGTCACGACCAAACACACTATAATCCATAAGGCTGGATTGGTCGTGAAAAAACCTGCGATGGTCGTGAAATTACCTGTTATTTGGCTCTGTTCTGGCGGTAGCCCTGCACCTCATGTTCGAGGATACAAAGTGGACTTCTAGGTTAATCTAGCAATTGAAATATCTTATAAACAAAAATTAACACCATGTCTACTTCATCGGATGACTACGTACGGTCATGGACACTCCAAAATTACAAAAAACACAATCTTTCCTTTATTAATCTTGTAATTCCTCCTTTCAACTCGAAACGACCGGCACTACAATCCTGACGTACACCCCGAACTAGTCTCTAAAACCAACTGACTCCATCGACGCCAGGCTTGCCACTGTCGTGCTCCAAAGTTGAAAATTTTTCCCAAATGGTCGTGACGCCAAATCGAGGGACAGACTTATTTTGTCATGGTAGTCAGTTTACAATGACAATAAAATTATAATATGCTCCTTTTTTGTAAGTTTAATAACCATTGATGACATAAAAATATGGCTTTATATATTTCGGCATGAATAATTAGTCTAAAAACAGCGTGAAAGTTGGAAAATGTACCCTAGGGACACGTCATGGTCGTGAATTTAGAGACTTTAAAAATACGAAAAAAATACCTAGAACCTATTTAAAACTAAATAAATGTGTGTAACATGTTGCCCCCATCCCAAAAAATATAAAAACACATAATAATTATCAATTATCAATTATCAATCATTAAGATGGGGACGCCACCTAGGTGCGTATTTTAACCCAAGTATGAGTGAAGGATGAGTGTAGAATGGTGTGTGATGATCTGTGTAATAATAATAAACTACAAATCCAGTATCTACGAAGTAAAAGGCCAGGGACATGAAAACGTACGTTTTTAAATTTTCACTCAGCGTATGCTACGCTAATAGGAAACATCCTCCTTCATACTCAATGACAGACTGAAATCAATAGGTGGTTGGTTATGGAAATAAATTTGTATTGTAAATACTTAATAATGATTCATGAGACATTTGGCGTATGAAATTTCAACACTGATATTTGAGATAAAATTGTAAAATACAGGGTTACACACGGGAGACGTACGGTTTTCATCTGCCTAATACTGAGAGTGCTGTAGTCATGGTGGGCATAGTTCTGCTCTACACAAAAGACAACTGACAACTAAGTCCCACTGTTCCATAGTGACTGAGTTAATGAAATGGCATCTTGTGTAGAGCAGAACTATGCCCACCACGACCACCTCCCACCACCGCACTTTTAGTACTACGCAGATGAAAACCGTGTGTCACCCTGTACATCTAAAACAATGCTGGATGGATGCATGGCTCAAGGTATATAAACAGAAAAACAACACCATTAAAAAATCACACTCTGTACATTTATTGTTTCTTAACATATCAAAATAAATAGTAAAATAAATGTCATGAACACCTATCATACAATACAATTTCTTGAATATGACAATACCGTGTACTGATTCACATGTTTCATCATAAACAAATGATCAAAAACTAGCATTAATGCAATAAAATACTAATCTAATGTATACAAACTAATTTAAAACATCTACAGCATCAAACTCGTATACGGGAGTAAACATGAAAATGGAAAGGCTCAATTGATAAAACAGTTGTAATACTATAACTTAACATGAATCTTATCTTGCATTTGTTACTAAAAACAATATGATTGGTTTTCGAACAATGATTACAACCAGTCCATTTTCTTGTAAACTTCTGTACAGCTTAGATTATACTTAAACATTTGAAAGTCAGCCTTTATTTCTACCTAAACAGCAGATTAAACATCATTACTACAAAATATTTCATGACAAACCTCTATACAAAAATATCTTCAAACCACAAAAATCTATATTGTACATTGGAACTATAAGAATAAATATTTGAGTAGCATTAACATTTTCTAAAACAATAACCTTTAATTACATTTGACAGTCTATGCTCTAGCGCAGTTCAGTTATTAAATTTAGCAAACGTTTTTGTTTTTAGACCAATACTTTTTATTTCTTAAAACTTAAACAAAAATAATTGTAAACTTAAATAATAATATTGAAAACACCCTTTACGTTGGACAATCAATCATTAAGGTAAAAAAAAATTATAGGGTACAATTTTACGAGTTTAATATAAGTGTGTAGGTTTGTTTTTAATATTTGAGTATTTTATTGTCAATCAATGAGTTTCATTTGCTTCTAATAAAATCACCTTCCAATAACTATGTGTTTGGGTACATACAATCTTCCTAAGCTTAATATCATTTGTTTAACATTTATTATATTAAAATTGTAACATTAATTAATATTCAGTAGACAAATCTAACATTTAAGGCTAGCCATTTATTCACAAATTAATCAAGGAGAAAATTAGTTGAAAATTGTTAGTCTTAACATCATTTTGATAGTTGTGATAAAAACCAAAATAGGTAAATGTACAATAAAATATCAAATGATGAAATATTGGACTTATATAAACATAGTATGGATTGTGATTCATGAATGGTAAAGTAAACACAAAAAGGCAATGGTAACTATTAAATAATACAAGTTTAGTCTATAGACAAATGCACACATTATAATGAGTATAAAGTTCATTGTACACAACAAATATGCATAGGAAATCGGGGTTTATAACACTAAATGGATATGTCTAGACAGCAAATTGTGTTGGTATTCATCAAGTTGTTAAAAATATTAAGTGTAAGAAAGGCAAAATTTTACATTTCAAAAACAAAAACATTTTCCTGAAAACTACCTAATGTGATGCATGAACAAATTGAGGCTTATTGAACTGAAAATAAATACCAAAGACATTAATAGGTACTATTGTCTGAGTTCTAACTCATATTCTAAGAATAGAGCCTAAATAATTTCATACGAGTTTAAAACTATACATATTAAGTTGTATAGTATACCTGAGATAAGTATAAAGAATCAGTGTATTCATTTTTAATTAATTAAAAAAACAAACCCTACTTTCAAATTATCCTTTTAAACAGTTTCTTACATTTTGCAAATTTTTAATTATTCATTATCTTAATCTCAATTCAAGCCCGTAGGTAATATTCTATACTTTCATGATACAAATTTATTATAATTTTATTACTTACAAATATCTATTTAAATTGCCACTAATTACAAACTGAACCAAAATCTGGTAACAATGTTGGTAAAATGACACCCTACATTCTGATCTGAAACATTGCCTCGAAATGGCTATAAATAACTTATAAAACACTACATACAAACTTAATTTCTAGGAATGTTTATTAACTTTTTGTATTTCAAAGAAAACTACATTAGTTAATCTGAACCTGCATTTAAATAAAATATTTACACCATCGCACTGCTCAAAACTTAAGTTCTTTGAGATTCCACTTCTTGTAGTTACTCTTTTACTGATAAGATATCTGTCTGAACATAGAAGATATTTCTTCTATCGTCTTGTTCTTGGTTTCTGGAACCTTCTTCCAAACAAAGAATGTGAAAAGACCTTGCAGAACTACGAAGATGAGAAATACATAACCACCCATCAATACCTGAAACAGTAAAAATGTATTGTGTTACGTAACATGATTATAATTACCAAGTTCTGGTCAAATTCATTGTAGACCACTAGCCTTCAACCCTTACCAGTAGAGGAATATACTCGCCAGAATTCCCTTTACTAAAAACGCTATGGACGACTATACTCGCCTTTTAATACAGAGTATTGGCTGGTCTTGATACTTCCCAGTTTTGCCGATAGAGTGCAGCAGCTATTGGGGAATATCTCTCGAGATGGAAAATCACAATAACAACGTTTCCCGCCCTCCGATTGTTCAATATGGCAGCACACTACACTTGCCAGTCTCTGCTATGAAAGACGCCAGCGGTGTGGACGGACTAACTCACAAGAGTGTTTAGTTCATTTGCAGACTCCGCGGGAAACTTGGTTCTCCGTTGCGTTCATCATTATATTGATATTATCAGTCAAGTTGGATACTGAATGCAAACTACTCGAACATCAAGTTGAGAATTAAATTCATTTTCCTTTAGTCAATCAAGTTTATGTAGAAAATAATTATGGCGAAATCTTGCTACATTTTATGCTATTACACAATATAGGCCTACTTGTAAAATAAACTGACCTGTAAAGGTAGGAATCCGAGACCAACAAAGAAGTTGGCCGTCCAGTTGGTAGTGACAGCGATACTTGCGGCGGTCGGACGAGCGGATTGGTTAAACAACTCCGTGACGAGGAACCAAGGGATTGAACCAGGTCCAACGGCAAACATGATCACAAAGATCAGGACGAAGAGAATGCAGAAATAGGACACCCAAGTGTATTGGTCCTGAAAAAAATCCGAGATATATTGGAGAAAATGTGGACAAACATAACTTGAGTTTTGTTCAATGGAAGACACTGGGCCAAGATTTTGAAAATTTGTACATTATTAGTGTTCACTAAACATTTAAGTTCTGTGTTAGAAAGATATACAGTTGAACATCGATAGTTTGACACTTTGTGGACTTAAGGGATGTCAAACTATCGAAATGTTGAACTATAGGGAGTAAACGGAGTTTAATATGCAGGAAAGTAAAAACACAACTCTTTTATAGAAATCACCCAAATTTATTAAATAGTAAAAAGCTTAACGATTTCACTGTTCATTAGTTGTCTCAAGTCAAAATTAATGTTCAAGTATCACAATAGTAACCATTAAATATCACTTGACAAATTAGCTCAGCCCGTGTCGAACTATCGAGTGTCAAACTATGAAAGGTTTACTGTAAACAATAAACATGTTTGAAATTTTTTACATACAGCCTTTGAAAACTAGAACACACCCTGAGAGACAAAAAAGCCTGAGCCCAAAACAATTCAAGTTGAAATTTTGTTTCATGCAGATCTTATTTACCTAAATTTATAAAATTTATTACAACTTTTACACATACCACTGTGACAAGCCCAATTGTGAGCAAAATAGTGTCAATGAACATTCCTCCAAAACCGATGAGCAGTAGAGTTTTGCGTCCAGCCTTCTCCACTAGGACTAGTGATACCAATGTCATCAGAACATTGACTGTTCCCATCAACAGTGTCGCCAACTGAGCATTAGTGTCACTGAGCTTGGCCTCCTTGAATATGCTTGTCGAGAAGAACATTGCCTGTTGAGAAAAAAAATGCTGATATATAATTTTATATTATAGAATTTGGATTGGCAGCTATGAACACCTAAAAGGTTTTTTGGAGATTATTGAAGTTTTCAGGCATCAATATCTTGAATCCATAGTTTAACCCATATAGCTGTAGGGTTCTGGAACAGGGTGTAGAAAAGTAATTATTTTTTGCAAACACACACAGCATGAATTGTAAAAATACAATTGAAAAATAAAATGAGGGTATTATTAGTTTAGCCAAGTTGGAACTCAAATGAAGATTAAATAGCGACTTTGTCAAGAATTCTGTGACCAATGTATGTTTGGATAAGGGCGCAGGCTGGATATATTTCAGGGGACAAACTGGTATCTTTTGTTCCAATGATGGGGAAAAGGCCCTCCTCTTCAAATCATTTTAATTTAAACTCTGTTAAACGTAGCCTACCATTTTTGAACTGCTGAAAGTTAGGGTTCTCTTAAAAAAAAGCTACCAGCATAGATTAGTTGAATGAGCCAAATAACGTTTTAACACGTTCACGCACCTTTACACCACTGAGTTTAGATTTTCTAAAAAAGTTCCCGTAATAATTCGGCAGAACTTTGTAATTTAAAACAGCACACAAGTACTGGTAACAATTTAAACATAGAACGATGGAATGCCTAGTTCTATCAATAGTCAAATCTTATATACCTATCAGCCTTTGGTTAACGTTAATACATAACTTAACGATCTACAGTTGTCCTTCCATAATATGTGGATCAAATTATTATTATTAATATGTGTCTTAGTGGTGAGAATATCAAAAATTTTGGATGATCAAGAATGGTTTTATCCTAATGCACTGATCAAGAAAAAATGACTGACCATTATTTTCCAATGCATTATAAATAAATATTAAGCATTTGGTACAGTTTGTAAACACAATCAATAAAAGGACCAAAACTAGTAATGACTGTCATTGTATACTGCGAAGGTAGAAGGATTCATGTTGTACCAAGCTGGTTTTTCCTGATGATAAGACCATCGGCAAGTCAGATTATTGAGTCATCGGACTGCATAATGTCAGATTATTTAGTGACCACTATTTTTTACTTCTATTTAAATACAATGTGAGATGAGCCTTACAGCGTTGATGCCCGAGAACTGCTGAGCTATCATGATCACCATGGCGATGGTGAGAGGAATGCGCAGCGTAGGGTTCACTATCATCTCCCGCATTGTCACCTTCGGAACCAGCTTCATCTGTTCATTCTCGGCTCTCATCTCGTCCATCTCATCTTGTACCTCGATGGTTCCTCTCAGCCAAGCCAGTGCTACCAACATCACAACAACTGTATAATAGTTTGTCATCAACATGCAATTGTCTAGACCAGATTATAAAGCCATTGCAACAACCATGATAATTTATCTTTGACTTACACAAAACTTACATTACACACACTATTCTCATCCAGCTATACAGACGAGAAATAGTAAGTCCAAATAGTAGTAGTTTTTGTCTTCTGCAGCAAAAACAGCTGTTTTTAATACATTTGTTGCGGTTCAAAACCTCAAAAGTAGCTCTTTTACTTTCTAGGGAGGAAAAATCAACTGTTGCAATTAAACATTTGTAAACTTAGATTATAGGCAATCGCATGTATCAAAATTATTTATCGATGATTCAATCGGTTGTAGGTTGTTGTTGCACTATTGTCAATAGTTCGACAAATCGATAGTAGTACATTAGACAATTGTAATACACAAAATGATTTAATCACTGAACAGCTGCTTATTTGCATTAGCAAAATTTAAAACAAACTGGAAGTCGTTATCTTCACAAGCTGGATGTTATCTTCACATGAAAAGTATTTTTGTTTTCTAACTTTTTTTGTTGAATAATGCTGCAATATGATGAAAAATATAGCTCATCACACAGGCAAAAAGTGTATTTTACATAAAGAGTGTCTTTATACAAAAATAGTCACTTTACGCCCTCGTGATAAAATATACTATTAGATTATAGGCCTCAGTAAAACTGTTGTCTGTTGTGTTAAATTTTAATTGACATGATTTTTATTACTTAGTGTACTATTTTTCAGACAACTAAGGTTACAGATAAATTTTAAACATGTTGATCCCTATTTTGAAATCTACATAAAATGGCTCTTCAACAACTTATTTCTATAGATTTTCAAGGCCTAAATAAATAACCTTCTTATACATACCTCTCTGGGCCTCCAACTCTTGACCCTTGCCCGTGAGGATGTATTTGGGAGACTCAGGGCAGACGGGCAGAGTGGCCACCATGAAGATGGCCGGCAGCACAATGACAGCCAGGAGATACGGCCAAAGGTCCTCCGTGCCCAGCATGGAGCTGAGGCCAAGGATCTGGGAGATTAGGATGCTGATGGTCAGGACCAATTGGTAGGTAGTTCCAACCTGGAGATTATACAAGAATGGTTAGCACTAGAACAACAATCCTGACATCACAAAATCTCCTCTATCAGGAGTTTAAATAAAAATTAAATGTTAGGTATGTAACGGACACTCTATGGTATCTTTAGTATCTTATAATCAAAGATAACAAAACGAAACATACTGTATGTCCACAAGTCAGAAGTAAACTGAATTTCTAAGGTAGTATTTATACTCCATTCACCATACTCATTTGATAGTAGCATTTCCTGAAGATATGATCAGCAAATCTTACCAATACTCCTAAAGAATCCTAATAGTGATGGAATATGGTGTTTTGAAGTCAAACTAGTGGCTCTGAAGCTTATTGCTGTCAAGTGGAATTGTAATTGAAATTGTCATGAAGATAGAAGAGGGTACTTCTAAGCTACTACAATGCAAAACATCCTTTTCATCCACAGTCACAATTTGTAGAAAAGTGTAGAAAAGATTGGTTGTTACTTACTGCTCCTCTAAGATGAACTGGGGCGATTTCAGACAAGTACATCGGAGCCAGTCCTGCGTTGAGGCCAGAGTTGATTCCAATCAGAAATCTACCAGCTATGATCATCTCGTAAGAATTGGCATATTTTGAAAATCCTGAAAATCAAAAAACATGTTAGGAAATAAGTTGAACTGCAATGAGTTAAAATAAGTATTTCTGAAATTATTAGAAGTATTTCTATCATTACTACAAGAATTTCTAGCAGGAGTGGTTGGAGAATACATTTTCTTTCAAGGAAGAAATATTAACAAGAAAACAAAGCCGCTAATTCTTTTTTAAATTATAGGGTGAATAAAATAACAGAGCTTTTTAGAGGAAAGAGAAGCATAGTTAATTCTTAAATCATGTTAAAACTAGGCTTTCTCTTGATGATGAAAATAGGGCCTGAAATTCAGTGTCTTATTTTATTGAAAAACCTCGACTGTATAAAAAAACTTGAGCATCAAAAGTAAAGGAAATCATAGTACAGTAGAGTCTGCAAACTCGGCGTAATGTGGACTGGAAGGGTGCCAAGTTTGTGAAATTCTGGGTTATCGGGAACTAGAGTTAAAAATAAAAACAATACAATTTTTAAGCCAAATCCTTGGTACGAGTTGTGAATGAATTGACTTGAGCCAGCTTGAGTCCATGTTGAACTCGGACTCAAAAAATCACTAATTTTCTGACCCAGGTGATAGCCGAGTTATCCAGACTGCCAGGTTATCGAGTGCCGAGTTTGCGGGACTCTACTGTACTGCAATTTAGCAGTCTGTAGAAGCAAACTGTAATAAACAATGAGCAGAAAAAGGAGGCTTCAAAATTATTAATAAGAAGTAAAAGCACCGTATCAAAAGAATTATTTAAGGTAGTGAAAATCTTCAACTATAAAATAACGCAATGACTCCTTTATTCCATTTTGTTCTATTGATTTGTTTTTTTCTATGCCGTTAGCATTGTTTAAGTTTTTGGTAAGGGAACAATCTAAACCGTGGCTGGGTAGCCATGTGGTTTAAGTACTCGCCTAATAACCAAAAGGTTGCCGGTTTGATGCAAAGAAAATTCAGTAGCTTTTTAAAGGTTCGAAACTGGACCCAGCTGCTTCTGATTGTTGGACTTTAAATAAATTATCCTGGCTGATCTTAGTCAGTAACAATACAGATCATCACACACCATTCTACACTAATCCTTCACTCATATTTGGGTTAAAATAGGCACCTGGGAGGCATCCTCTTTTTGATGATTGGTGATTGATGATTGATATTACAGTAGTATATAGTCAACAATTTTAGATAGCACCATCAATCGGTACCCTAAAGACAAATTACTTCTGGGTCCAAAATTGATGTCACTTAGGATCGAGCCAGCGTCCTGTTCCAGATTTTGAAGTGAGCAGGACTCGGCTACCCAAACTTATCACTCATCAGACATTTGTCACAACACACTTTATCTACCTTGTAGGAGGGCAGAGGCGAACACCAAGATGTTATTGAGCAGAAGACCACCCTTGCGTCCGAAGGTGTTGGCGACAAAACCAACCATGGATCCTCCAATCATTCCTCCCACACAGAATATCGACACAGCCGACGCCCATATCAGTGTCACCGTGGACTGGTTGATGTTGGATACAGGCTCACTCGTTCGGTTTGCCAAGACGTTCCTGATGAAATCTTCGATGAGCTGGGTAACAGAACAGTCTGTCAAATTGAGAGTACTTAGTTTACATTTAATTTAGCCAATGTTAGTTTGACGACTTTTGAAACCTCGAACACAAAACTTGTGTGCCAAGGTCTTGATTTACGTTATATGATAACTCCATAGACTCTTTGTGGAGCACAAGAGATGCTCATTTTGTATGTATTAGCAGGTGTTTAAACAAACTAATACTAAGATAATTTCCAAATTTCGTCTCATGAAGATATTTTATTTAATCTTTGAGATGTTTTATACTGTATACTGTGAAGTGGGTAGAAGACTGGCTTAGTAACCCTGTATTTTCATTGTTTCCCAGACTTGAAAGGTGAGCATTTAAAACGTTTTTCTAGTAGCCTTCAGTGGGGAGCGAGCTGGTCTAGTGGTTAGAGTGGGACTTCAGTCACTGAGGTCCAGGGTTCAATTCCCCCCAATCACCAATGGATTTTATCCAACTGATAATGCCGCAACCCCTAGGTCTAGCCTGAAGTAATGCGATAAACAATCCCAGGCTCGTGCTTAGCATAGGACCAAAAAAAAACCTGCCAAGTCTATTTTGTTGTGTTTTGATAGGACTTAGCAGCCTGATGGAGCATCAGTTATAGATGGGTGGGCAATTGTTTTATGCTTGATTAAGTGGAATAATAGAAGTCAATGACATCTAGAGTAACTCGATAAATTTTATTACACCATCATGTCTGATAATACCACTTTTTTTTTTGAAATTGTGTTTCTAATAAACTTGGGTTTTTTATAATCAATTTTATACTGTAATAAAAATGTGGGAGGTTGGATCCGCCAAATAGTTATCCAACAACAATAAGATGTGTGTTGTATTAGAACATGTTGGAATGAAACTATAAAAATTATTTCCTCTGTCTTTATAATATCTTGTTTATAACTTTTAACAAGACCAAGCACTTGTTTAGTACAAATTTATGTTTTAGCAAAGTTTTGAAAATAAAAATGAACAGTTAAAAGAGTTATAACAAGACACATTAATGTTTATAATCTTTTTGCGACTAAAATTGTAGTCTGCAAATTACACTTTTTTGCAATGTTTTTTTTTATTTTCAAGACAAGTAAGATACCACACCTATTATGATTTGTGATATTTTGTTTTTCTAGTTTATAAAAAGGGAAAGAATATCTGAAAATTTTCTAATCTAGCCTGTAAAATACTTTTCAAACTTGTAGGTAAATATCTTCCTTGTGCTATAGTAATGAATTCTGTATTCTTTGTACATTTTCAATGTAAGCTAGGATACCAACTTGGACACCATTTGATACAGTCGTCAAATAAAGTAAAAAATCTCAAAGATTAAATTAAATATCTTAAGACATAAGACGAAATTTGGAAATTATCACTGTTACTTAGACGCCAGATACAAGCTGTACTATCTTATGCGCCTCCATATAGCAAATATTAATATTTACATAAATACTGTATATTTAATAAATTTACATCATAAACAGTCATAATACATTCTAATTAGAGTTCTTCCAATAAACGTTTACCTTTTGAGGAGCATTGACAACTCCAGTGCCGTAACCGTGTTGGAAGGATGACCCCAGAGCTGCTGCTGCCACGGCAAACACCAAACGCCCATTTAACCCCTGCAACAAAAACAACAAAATTAGTTTCCTCTGAGAAATCCGTGGTTTGTTCACAAATGAAAAAAATGTAGGCATGTTGGCCTGGCCTATAGTCCAGGAATTTCCTGAAAATTTTAATTAGGTACCAGTAAGTCATTTGACAGTTACAAAACACAAATAAATTATTTACCTAGGCTAAGACATTTTGTTTATTTTGTTAGAGGGGTAGCATCTACTTTTAAAAATATACCAATAACCTTCCTTCCATAGTTCTATTCTGATGTAAGATTTTTCTTCATCAGTGTTCCAGTGCTGTATGTGTGCATAAAGAGGTAATTCTGTACTGAAAACAGGTCTTTTCCCTATTTGTAAGTTTTGACAATATGGTATAATTTCCACCCCAATTACTGCTTTACAATTTTCCATTCGATACAAAACTATTGAAAACTTAATAATTATGATAACTAACACTTATACAATACAGTATTTTGTTTATTCTTCTCAAAGCGGTGAGAATGAAGAAGAGCAAAATGGTCCTTTAAGCTCCTGAAGAGAACCAGTTTAACCATCTTGATCCCATATAAAATCTCAATTGTATCCCTTGATTCTACATAACGTTTTTGTTCCATTCTATTGGTTTCGGTGTCAAATAAATTAGTAGCTCTTGCAGCTAGTAACTGTAATGTAAACAAATCAAAGTTTTAAACATATTCATAGAGTGTAAACTAATCAAATGTTATTTGCTAAAGAGTCTCGAATCCAAACTATCAAAAGCCTCTCACTATAGGATGCTTTATAATTACAGGTGTTTTTGTGTGGTAAAAAACATAGACGAACAGACATATTTTTCTAATAACATTGCACAGAAATACAATACTAAAATGTTTGTTGGCAACACTAGTTGTAATGAGATTCAAAACAACTACATATATCTCAATGAATTACACTTGTGGTTGGTCATTTACAATTTGCTGGTTCTGTTATCAAATGATTATACATGATGGGGTCAACCTATTGGACCCACATCAAAAATTAGTATACAGTTGAATGGGTGAGATAAGTTTCAAATCAATGCGCAGTGTTGACTTTTGCAAGTACTGTGTGTCTTGAATACAGTATTTTCTCATTTTTCAGAGATCCATAACGTGTTATTTCCCATAGCAATTTATACTGTACCAAAAAGGCTGGAAGATTTTAGTATGGTTATGGCAGCAATATAGCATGGTGTTTTTTAATAAAAATGTATTCCTATACCAGTCGCAGTTTTACTCCTGAATTGATCAATTAATTTAAATAATTCTCTTCTAGTTGAGAAACGTTTTTTCTTTTCATTGAGCCATGGTAGCAACAAAACGTTAATTGATGTTTAAAAGGTCTGACATTAAATTTTGCTTGATTTTAATTTTTTTAACCTTTTTTTTCAAAAGCTTATGTTTAATGTCATACGTAGACACCACTGTTACAATAGGTAGAAATATAAGTCATCATAAATCACTTTTAAAAGGACTCTAAATTTAAAGTTACTCATATATTTTAGTGACGTACAGTATTCATTCGCTGCGCCACAGATGACTATTTTCGTACATCACCTGTGCCAACACGTGTTTTAGGTTTGAGCAGTAAACATTCACAAATCTTTGGTGACAACAACGCTATCTCAAACATTGTTAGCTCTACCAACTATACAGAGCAGAATGTCTGGCCTTCAAATGGGTTGTTGCTTCGTTGACATAGTCTTGTACATGTTTGCTATTTCAAACTAACTTCATTGTCATAAACCATTTGGTAGTTCTGATCGTTATTGTTTAATCTTTGACTATTCATGAGTAAACACATTTTTATTTTATTTATTGTTCAAAAACTTGAGTAATGAGATTTTTGTTGGACATTATGCTTTTCAAATCCATTTTGTTATGCAATATAATTCAACCAATACATAAACACGCTTCCTAGTATCCTTTTTCACCAAGATGGGTAGATTGGTAAATTGGGGGATTCAATAGGTCCTGATCCTCTAATGGAGGATGAAATTGGAGTGATAGACCAATTGATAGACCACGGATCAAGTAGCTGTACTGCAGAGCTTCAGACTGTGAACTAGAGTCAATAATTGTCCTTTGATCACTTTCCCTGGTAGATTTCCCACTCTCCATACATAATATGAGTAAAGCTGGATTTCGATAGCTTAACTGCCTTGTATTTTTAGCTTTGTGAAGGGGAAAAATTGTTTTTACCGAATTTCCCACATATTTTCCCATATGGACCTGGGACCAATTTAATTTTTTCGTTTTAAGGTCCCCAGAGGCAAAAACACCATTTTGACCCTCTAAACATAAAATTTGGGATTTTCTTTCGAAACCACGTTGTAGAGCTTTAAAAAACAAATAATTTATTTTGTCCCTGAAACCAAAGGTATATGTGTACCCCACCTAACTATTTCCTACAATAGATTTAAAAATCAATTTCTTTCTTCAGTGTCTTCTCCATATTGCTAAGCACAGGTACAGCAGCTAGTAGGGAATAAATATGACATTTTTAAGGAGGTAACTTATGTTAGTGAAAATCCAATCAGGCAAATGGAATTTGCTTAGTCTACAGGTTTGCTGCGGTGGGGGTATTGTTTTATTTTAAGATAAGTTAATGAAAGTGACGTGTAGGGGTGTAGGCTACTGAAGATTATTTTATAATTTGAATCATCTCTGACAGCTTGCTAGCGCAGCCATCCGTAAGGCTATGTAAATGTATTTTCAAAAAATATCCAACTTTTGGAAAGGTTTTCTAAGCATGAGAATCAAAACTACTAAAATTGTTGTTCAAAAAGTTCTTTAAAACTGGCAATCAATAAATTTGTGTTAATAAATGACGGAACAAAATATAAAAGAGTAAATTGTATAGTATAGGCTAAATGTATTAGCAAACATGCAAGGGGAAAATATGTATAACAGCCTGCAAATACGCAGGAAAGTAGTTATTGTCATATTCAGTGCCAACAGTTAATTACTTTTAGTTCAAGGAGTTACCTTTAAGGTATGAATTATTTTGTAGCCGACTCAAAAATATACAGGTTAGAATAAATTGTATCTTATAACAACGTTTTTAAAGTATTTATAACTAAACATCATTCTGATCGAATATAGTTTCAGCAATAGTATCTCTAAAATAAAATGTTTTAAACAAGTAGAGATTTTGTACTTGATCAAACAATATTCTACCCTGTCAGCAAATTATTCACTTCATTTAGCCCTAAAAAGTATAAGATAGTACAAAACATTATTATATTAGTCTGGAAACTAATTGTTTTAGGGCTTAAGAACAGAAAAAAGTTAAGATTTATGTTTATAAATAAAAAGTAGAATAAAATCTCTGTAGTTTTTCTCAGCAAAATTGTTAAATACAATAAAATTTATTTTAAAATGGCTTTTGTTCTAATTTATAGAGGACCATTAAATTTGTAACCAGACTAACTTGATTTTAACTTGTTACAATGTGACTGTATTCTTCTATTTTGATTTATATTATTCTTTATATTATATAATAAAGAGATTAAATATAACCTGGTGATTTGGTGATTATACAATCATAGATTAAACATACTCCCTTAAACACACTAAGAAAATAACCACTAAGGGAGTATGTTTAATCTATGATACAATATACATAAAACTCTTCCTCAAAACCTCAAACAACTAGCTAATATTATCATTGACTACTATTATCATTGATAAGGGTTTAAAATATGCCCAATCCTTTGATACCTACTCAAAACTATAACAGAAAATTGAGTATTCAATTTTTATCTTTGAATATTACATTTATTTTACCTGACAGAATATTATATACTCCAGAAAAACTGTACGAATTGTTATCAAGGGTTCGGTACCAATTATAGTTAGAGCATCGATTTATTTGCACAGTAAAACATGCAAAGTCAAATTTACATGACAAAAAACGCAAACTCACCGCTCTTGGAATGTAAGGCATTGCAGAGGAAAAAGCTGCGTCTAGTCTGGTTTGATAACAGCAACCTACTGGCTTATCAGCCGACAGTCGTATAAAGGGGGGAGGGGCACAGCTGATAACAATTACTACAGTCGTAAACGTTTGCAAAATTACTGAGATAACATTGTGAACAAATTACCTGGAGCTGACAGATAATTTCATCTTGTTATCAAGACTAAATGGCATTCATAAAACAATTATGGAGTATTTTCGGGTTTCTCATTTTAACTTTCATTCTTTATTGTAAACGATTTTTGCATGGGATGTACAAAAATATGTTTGGTTCTCAGGGCTAGGCTATACTAACTACTTGCTGTTTCTGGAATTTCTTCTTTGTATTACAGTAGTTGCAGTCAGTTTATTTATATTGTGATTAGGTATTCAAATTAAGTCTATTGATTTGTAAAATTGTTGTTATGTTGCCTAACCTCAACCTCACCAATTACAGAAAATCGATCACATCATTAAAAATTATCCATTTATTGTTCAGTATACTGTCCTAACTACACATAAAAAAGGCACTGGTGGCTTTTCTAGACTATGAGGCTTCGTTCTACATGAAGCCTTTAATGTGCTTGTGAAAACATGACAGAAAAAACAATGCGTTCAGACAAGGATAAGTTTATTCTCCAGCTTAAACCACTTTTACTGGCCATTATCTTGTCACCATTTACGAAGATGTATCAGTATAGAATTATTATTTTAGACATGTTGGAATGTAGAAGGAAATATAAATACATGATAAACACTGTTATCTCGTTGCGAGATACGTGCAGATGTTTTGGCAATGTTGGCCAACCTGCGCTGCAATCAGCTGTTAGCTGGCACGCGGCAGAGCTGCGATCTGATTGGCCGACACACCTCGCGGCGGAGCAACGCTATTGGACGACGGCGACGAGCCTCTTTCGCTTGACACAGTCACAGTCTACCCGTCTACCGTTATCACAGACACTGCTGTATTGATTATTTTACGCTAATTTGTAAACATCATTATTAGTACATCGTATTTAATTATTTGCGTT